CCATTTGTACATTTTATTTAGCTGAATTCGGAAAATATGAAATTCAAACATCCGCGATCTGATATCTTGTAGCCAAATACTGTTCTCTTCCATCACAGTGTTTGGACGACCACATGTTCAAGTGAAAATATATACAAGATTTTAATATAACCTCCCCCGCCCCCTTACCCTTAAATCTATGCTTACTTTGCAGTTGGCTGCCGACCTGGGGAAAGATAACTTTGACCAGTTGTTCAATTTCCCTGAGCTACAATAATTCGGTCGTTGTCTGGCTATCTGCCGCGAAAATAGCACATTTGAAAGTATGTTCCCTTTGTTAGGTGCCAACATACGCCATAAAGCCAAAGAAAAAGGAAATTTTGTAACTGTATACAGCAGTCTGGATTTGCTTCCATTGATATGGTACAATATTTAATCATAACGACGTATGGTTATACGGCCGAGGTTCAATACTAAAACCATTCAGGACTTGGAAGGAAAAGCACAATTAATTACAGTGTGTATTCAACTGGAAGTACATTATCGGGGGTTGATTCTGTTGGTACCCTTCAAAGGGAAATTATAAACGGCATTGAACAATGGCATTGAAAGTTGTCACGTTCAGCAGACGTTTTGAGGATTTTTTTCAGGGGGAGGGGGATTACAATTTAATCGGACCTTGATTTCTGTGCACACTTTCGGCCAACGGGGCGTTTCTGGCGCGTTTACAAAAGTCGCTACTTGATCACTGTAGCATGATCACGTTACTCATGGGGGTCAAAGTGAAATGTGGCAAAGATTGACTTTGAAATTAATTTACCATGCACTTAGGCTTTTTGTCCCATTTAAAGAATACTCCTATCAAAGAATTCAGAATATCAGCTGGCGAGCATACGGAAGCCCTCGATACATTCTCACCGGGCAACTATATTTAAATGGGAAGGGCTATTCATTTTTTGGGGATTTTGCTCTCAATAACAGACCAGCACGTATAAGGTCAGCTACCGATTTTTGGGCACTCCATGCCGCACAGTGGCTCAGTCGAATACCAAGACGGTTGTTTCTCGACCACGTATATTTCTTATGATGTTGATCCAGTGTTCGCATCGGAGTTCGGGTCTTTCTACTGGCCTCAACTTTGTCCGGGTCATAAGAACACCCCCAAACTCATTTTCTCCTTTGACAGTCTGCCTCTCACGCAG